TTTTTTATTTGTATATAGTCAACAACTTTGACGTATTTTCATGATTCTTATGTTAGGTGTAGATCATTTTGAGTTTAATCAAATATCAAAGCTGTACTTATGGATTATTGTGTCAATTACATTAAAAACAACCAAACACAACATTATAACATAGTGTTTATGATTTTCAAAAATCAAGGTTTATTTTTTTTAAGTTTAGCAGATGACGCTAATTTAAGTTTGTTTTAGTATTCGTGGTTTCAATGCAATATAATTATTTCGAAAAACATCTGGTATACTCTTTGCAAAGTGTTGCTGGAAATGTTCACTTTCAAGTTGTTACAACATGTTGACGTTTGGTATTTTCATGATTATACGAGATGTCGTTTTTTCTATCGAAAAGGATTTTCGTTTTTAGAAAAAATATATTATTATGAACTACATATCTCCGAAATGTTAAATTTTATTAAGATTTGGCGTAAGTTCATACTTGCATACAATAAGTGATTCTGTGATTTTTATTGGATTTTGCTTTAATCCTATTCAAATGTACGAATGTTGATCAACAATCATCATGGATAAGCTATTGTGTCAATTACATTATAAACAACAGAACACAACATTATAACATCATGTACACAATACAAAGGGGGAAATGAAGCTTAAGTAAAAATAGAAATGTCGATTGGTAACGATTTATCGATTTAGGCTGTGCTGTGCTGAAACTGAAACATTCATTGTTTGTGATAGGAATGTTAAGTATGCATCAGCATCATAAGTTTATAAGCCAATCGTCGCCCTCCAGAAGAGGTACGACTCTCGGCTTTTCAAAGAGATCAAAAACAGAGTAAAATCAACGTAATTGATGCTGATGAGTATAAGAAACTTATATGCACAAGCTACGCAAAGTTCACTGCGAGTGTCAAATGGTAAAACGGCTTATTTATACTAATACCATTGTTGCATCCCACATTATTGTTAATTGCTTGTTAAAATATGTCTTGATTATTTCTTTAACTAAGGTCGTGTTTGTTTATTGTACTAAATACATTTGTTAATTATTGATAACATGAACTATACTAAGATAGATTGAGAAGTTAACTTTGGTGCTATCTAGCGGTAAATAGACGAACTGTTGCGAACTACGATGTAAGCGCTATTAGCGGCGACTAGACGTACTGTTACGACAGTCGTTTAAGTTGGCGGAGTTGTATTTTTAAATATTATTTATTTACGAATGTTGAACACATGCGTTAGCCATCGGAGTATTAGATAGCTTAAACTAAAGTTAGTTAGTTCAAATTAAACTACACAATTAAGTTAAGCCAACATCTTTTATACTTACTTTCTGCAAAGTGTCATTGAAGTTTACGTTTTAACTAGTTTACAAAATGTTTAACGATATATTTTATCATAATATGAAATGTAGTTTAATATCAAAAAGGTTTGTAATAAATTCAAACGCCAAACAATAAGTGCTCCGGGGTTTAAATTCTCATTTAAGATTTTATTAGTCCTGTTCGAATGCAAATTATGATTCGTCTGAAAAACATCTGATATACTTTCTGCAAAGTGACGCTGGTAATGTTCACTTTCAAGTTGTTACAACATGTTGACCTTTGGTCTATTTTATGATCATACGAGATCGAGATGTAACTTTTTTCCTATCGAAAAAGATATCCGTTTAAAAAAAAACCCATAATTTTGAACTACGTAACCCGAAATGTTAAATTTAATTAAGATTTGTCGTAAGTTTATACTTCTAAACAATAAGTGTTTCAGTGATTTTTATTGAAAGTTGCGTTATTATTTTTCAAATGTACGAATGATGTCTGATCTTTAATCGTCATGGACAAGTTATTGTGTCAATTAAACTAAATATAACCAAACACAACATTAGATCATTATGTTATTTACTCAAGGGAGGTATATAAGAGCCTTGGATGACGTCAGCTGTCAGATCTCTTCTCTTGAGGGAACACCATTACCGCAACAACACGGAAATCTAACATTGGTATCGGTAGTGTTGTATATAGCGTGTCAGGCTAAGAATGTGAAGGTGCCGGGTTCGAATTCCGCCGGTTATTCTAACTTTCTATCGACAATGTTTTCATATCAGCAAGTTTGGTTGGTTTGGTTTAATTTTATGATTAAAAATTATAAAACTGAATTTGAGGCATTTATAATTTTATTTTATGAACATAACTATTTTTTCGATTAGTAAACCTTCATTCGATTTTTTAATGATCAACAAGTTTGGTTAGGTTATGACAATTAATAATTAATTTTATAATTAACTTATAGTTAAATAACAATGATGCGCTGTGATCTCTACTACAACGCCGTTCACGGAGGAATTTTGAACTAAACTATGATGTCATCGTTGCCTCTATACCTCCCGTAAGTCTGATCCCAACATTATGTACACAATTCTTAAAACGTTAACAGCTATTAAATTAGCCAGCTGATCATAATGTTAACAAATAATGATGACATGGGAACTTAAAAAAGCCTTCGGGACAGAGACCAGGGACGATTTTAACGTTAGACCTTATTATGACAAATACTACTTAATGAGATCTTTGGATCTTTCCAATGACCCAAGAACAAACAAAATCGGTTGAGAAACCACGGAAGAGTGAGTTCTGCCCGTCAAAGATCGTGCTTATCTTATATAAATATATTTACGCCACACTACATCATTTTGACGAACTTTCCAAGCAAGGATTTAGTCCAGAAAACAGCTGTTTGCCGCCAGCTTATTCAAATGGGGATTCATTGCGTACTACTGTACTGCAATGAGTTTTGCCGGACACCAATCAGCTGATTATACTGTATTTAGGTGCCAGTGAGTGAGTGGTTATGAACAAAAACATAGTGATTTTTAGTCATTTAGTTGGTGGAAATATATAAGGATTTGTACGAATTTAGTAGTATGACGTAAACTATCGTACGTAACTCGTCCAAAATGTGTACCGGACTTGTATGGTAATCCCGTACTCGACTTCGTCTCGCACGGGAACGACCACACTCGTCCGGTAAACACTTATTTTCAGGCTTAGTAACGTAATATAATATTTATCGTCTTTTCATGTTTTCAATACGAGGACGAGACGAGACTTGCAATTAACAATTCAATGAGATGTTTATAATTATTTATACTAATGTAATTACTAATTTTGAATGATGAAATGCTTATTTGCTTATAAGCCAATCGTCGCCCTCACGATGAGGTACAACTCTCGGCTTTTCAAAAATAATCAAATCCAAATTGAAAAACAACAAACTATATCATCCAACGATATCAGATGAGGAAGAGTAAAGTTGCTATATGCACGAGATACTCCAAAATCACTGCGAGAGTCAAACAATGCAACAGCTTATTTACAGTACTACCACGGTTGTATACAGGAATGTTGGGAATTGACTATAAATAAATAACTTGAGTATTTGTTTAACTATGGTTAAATATGTTTATTGTAATTAATACAGTTTAAAATTATTGATAATATTAACTAAACAACAGTGGATTGAGAGTTCAACTTTGGTGCTATCTAGCGGTGACTCGACAAACTACCACTGCGGACGACGACGTAAGTGCCCTAGCGGTAACGAGACAAACTACTGTAGCGTGTAATGATGTAATTGTAACTAGTGTACATGTTGCTCGAATTCGAGCAATTGCAAAGTATTAACGGAGTTATTTAAAAACGAATAACAGTCATATTTACAATGAGTTTAAAAGAGTCAACTCAAAGATCGCCGGTGTGTAACTCAGACCATGTTTATCTTCGTTATTGATAAACCTAAAGCATTCCGGCCGGGTTTCTCCTTCTCAAAATGCCTCGCTGTACAGGCAACACAGGTCATTGATAGAGGGCCAATTGAGAGCGAATAAAAGTTGTTTTGGTGTAGTTAGGGCGCATTTGTAACCTAATAGTTGAGATCGTCCAGGGTCAGGTGCTGACTGTGATAAGTTAAGCCTATTACGCGCCACTGTTTTGTAGCTGCGGTCGTTATCACGATTACGCCTCGTTTCGTTTTCGTCACGTCGGAGGCATAGAAAAAACAACAAATAAACAAATTATAGCTACACAAAAAAAACCTATAAATGCACAAATTTAACTTACAATCATGCTAACACAATCCGTCATATCGACACAAAACAACGATAAGTACAAAAATTTCAGATACAAACACAATAACACGATCCGTCTAGAGCGTTATTTTTACACGAACTCAAATATTCTCAATGCGTTTCATTGAATTCAAAAATAAATAACAACAGCAATTAAATTATACAGCTGATCAAAATTTAAACAATTATGTTCTTCATTAGGATAACAAGGGCCTTTTTCAAAAATGTAAGGCCAGTTTGCAATTCTCACGCTCTTTCCAATGAGACGCCAATTGATAAAATCGGTTAAGACATGGCGGAGGAGTTCAACCGACAAAGTTTCATGAAGCGTATTAATTATATAGATTTAAAGAGGCGTTTAAACAGGAGCTTAGGAACACGTGTTAACAACTAATGTTTCTAAAAAAACCAAGAAACACTTCTTTGGGAATACAAACATTTTACATGTCATGTAAAAAAAGAATAATTTAAAGATTTTAACATGATTTTATAAATACATAAAGATACGATGTTTTGGTTCATCCAGTACATAGTTTGGATCTTTTTGAATATTTTACACTTTATTTTACTAGATGAAATAATGCCAAGAGGTTCTTTTTTGGAAGACAATGTTTAGGTGGTAAATTCCGGTGGGTGGAACCATAGACAAAAAAGAATTAAATTTAAACTGTCAGCCGTGCTGTGGCACAGAAATGTTTTTTGTGGCTGCCGCCATGTGCGGTGTGCGCCAGAACCTATGGTAACCATGGTAACCGCAGCACAGCTGACAGTCTATATTTAATATTTTTTTATTAATGGTGGAACCCTCTTAGATAAAAAAATACTAAAACGAATGCAATATTTTGTATGGTGTTTATTTTACAAAAATATACAAAGAATACCTTAAGACTATATACATGTTTTACTATACTAAACTACTATAATTTGTTATTTTGTGTTATTTTCTTACAGTATCTTTCGGGTAGTATACAGTAATTTCTAAGAACAGTTTTTCTAAAAGAATGCTGTGTATTAAAAATATAATACAAATACTCTTCAATGAATTATTGAAGCAATAGTGAAAACTCAAAAATACTGAAAATTTCTGGTATGAATACTTAACAGTTTACTTCAATTTTTTTATTTTAGGATTTAGAAAGTAAAAAAAAAATTAACCGTGGTACAAAATTATTTTAAAGTTCTGCTGATACATACAGTGAATGAGGTCCTTTCTAATACTATAGATTATTGACAACTATAAGTGACAAACTTCAGTATAAAGTAAAAAATTCAAAATTATTCGCTTACGTTCGTTTCAACACAATGGGCAACAACTATTGTTCAAGTAACAGCCCCAAAATATTTGTTTGCATTTCCTGAGTAAATGTTGTTCAATCTCTTGACAAGGGCTTTTTGACACTTCAATATTACATTATTAGCATTACAAACACAAATAACAATGAAGAATAACTAAGGACAAGATCACAGACCAAACGAAACTACACTGTACATGGCACTGAAGAACAATAGTATGATAAGCATCAACAGCTTCAAGTGATGTATCTGGGAGGAGGGAATGGGTACAATCACTTTGGAAATAAAAATACTTTTTGTCTCATAAAACTTCTGCTTTACTGAACGCAGTAATGATAGATTTGAACTTTTGTGATTTGATCAAATCTTGTTCCTGATGTGAACTTTATTTTATTATCTGTTTACAATGTGTTGGTTAGTTTATCCTTTGTCCTGTACACTACGGAACTGTTTGTAGAGCGTCCCCAGCAAAGCAAGAGGTGAGCCCGTACAGTAAAAGGGTGTACTGTACTGATAAAGTGTAGTTACAAGGATCAGAAACCACGACATCGCTGCCTTGGGTTGGGTCCGAAGTCTGTGGTGATGCCGACTGAGCCATAAACTCATCACCTGAACTATAATAAATGTAAGGTAAATGGTAAAAGTTTTAATCAGACAATTATTCCAGATAAATGAAAATATTCAATAACGCTAGAGGTTGATCTGCAGTGTATGAATTCTTCCCACAACACTCTTGCTTATCTACTGATTTATAGTTAGAGTTTGAATTACTGTAACAAAAACAATAATTGAAAAATCACTGAGACAAAAATTTAGACTGAATGGATTCAGATCTCCAGATTTATACTATGGTTGTCTTCTGTGCTGGACCATGTCTTCTAGCTGTATTTGATGAATACTGAGGTTTTGAAGTTGCACTGCAGCTCCATCATCAGTGGTTAAACCCAATGAATGAAGTGCACTCCACAAATCAAAAGTCAAAGATTATTCATTCTATCCACTCTTCCTCCAACCCCAACCCTTAGCTATACAGTGGCTATTGCACTTCACATCTTTCACACAGTAGTGTATGTTTTCATCACCCTGTGAACCCATCGGACGTAGTTGGGCAGTCTGGTGTAGATACCATATTTGCCCCGCTTGCCACAGCCTTCCCCGAAGCTGGTGATGCCGAAAACCATCCAACGCCCCGCCAAGTGACACAGTAGCGGACCCCCGGAGTCTCCTGCGCAGGAATCCATCCTGCCCCGTCTGTCTCCCGCGCAGAACATGTTGCCCGTGATGTGGTAGTCTTGGTAGACCTTGCGACACTCCTCGTTGGTCACTATGGGCACCTGGGAACAGAAGCTTTTGAAAATGTGTAGTTGTTAAATGGTAAATGTAAGCTGTGACAGTGGGTTTGAGAAATTTATATGTTCTTTCTTTAAATTCCAATTCTGGTTTAGTTTTTTAGACATTCTTTAATAATTATTTTATTTTATTAAGTATAGGAGAGAGTTTTACAAAATTTACAAACAACCACTTTTGTTGAAGAGTTGTACTGTTGTTTAAAAAAATATGATCTATTTTTTTACTTCCCTCATGAAAAATATAACTACATAATGAGCATGGTGAGAGATCAGTACTGTGGCTTTATGTTGAAATCAGACTCCTGGGTAAAATGTGTCCTGGTTATGTTGTCCTTGGTTAATGGGTAAAAAACAATTAGAAACAGAGTTGATGGTTATAAATTTAGCTATAAATCTAACACAATGTTAAAACTCCTCCAATTTTAATTTTCAGGTTGAAATAAATTTGCAAAATAATAAATAGGCTATGTCACTGTATTTAAAAGTGATTTGTGAAGATAAGCAGTTTAAAAAAAGAAAATCAATAGAAAAAAATACCATAAAGCAAATTCCTCGTGTCTTATTCCTACTTATATATACAGTGTGTAAATTAAGTATGGAAACAAATCTGTATTTTTAAAACCGAAATAGATAGAAATATTCTATTTGTGGCAATAATAGTTAACAAAGATTCCGCAATTTTTCACATGAAAAATATTTTTTTACCCCCCTAACAGGGTAGGTCGTAGGGGGTGACTTATTTTTTTCAAATAGCAACCCCTATTGAGTGACCCCTCATTTTGAAGGGTTTGTCAAAAGAAACACAATGACGCAAATCCGAGGTGAATATCTCACTCCTAGCCCAAATGGCGGATATTCCAAAATTTGATTTATTGTACGTGAAAAGCACCAATTTCACAAATAATGGAAAGAAATCTGTATTTTTAAAACCGAAATAGATAGAAATATTCTGTTTGTGGAATTGATTGTTGACATAGGTTCCGCAATTTTTTTAATTAACAATATTTTTTCAACCCCTTTAACAGGGTAGGGGGTGGGAGTGACTTATTTTTTTCAACAACAACCCCTATTGAGTGACCCCTCATTTTGAAGGGTTTGTTAAAAGAAAAAGAATGACGCAAACCCGAGGTAGATATTTCACCCCTAGCCTAAATGGTGGGTAATGAAAAATTTAATTTTTGTAAAAAAAGCCCATTTTGGAATATCCGCCATGTTAGCTAGGAGTGAGATATTCACCTCGGATTTGCGTCATTGTGTTTCTTTTGACAAACCCTTCAAAATGAGGGGTCACTCAATAGGGGTTGCTATTTGAAAAAAATAAGTCACCCCCTACCACCTACCCTGTTAGGGGGGTAAAAAAATATTTTTCATGTGAAAAATTGCGGAATCTTTGTTAACTATTATTGCCACAAATAGAATATTTCTATCTATTTCGGTTTTAAAAATACAGATTTGTTTCCATACTTAATTTACACACTGTATACTGATGAATATACTGACATAATCTATACTTATTTACAAATGATACATACCTGAGCTTCTTGCAGAACATCTGTTCCAAACATATCGGAAGTTCGTCTCTTGCCCCAGCCTATGATCGTGCAGAGACGTCGTGCGGGGAGGGGTTGTCGTGCACGAGGTAAACACGCAATGTTGTGTTGAGGGTCTTGAGTCGCGGGGAACGGCAAGTGTAGCAATGCCAAATCGTTGTCTACTGTGTCCATGTTGTAATCGGGGTGAGTGACTGCATATTCTACCTGTAATAAGTTAATATTGTTGAAAATGCTGTTAGTAACAGAGAAATATTCTGATGTTTTGGGAAAGTGTAAAATTTTGTGTTTCTTGTCTTGTGATTCTTCTTCATTCTAACCCTAGCAAAAGAATGAAATTCAAGAACCTTTGAATACATCTGCTAAACAATGTTGCAAACAACATTTTGTGAAATAGAGATTTTTAAAGATCATTGATGCCAATTACATTCTATACTGCGTAAGATATTTAACTTTTAAAATAGCCTACAAAGGTTGGCAGCACTTACAAGCGATTGAATGTGCAAGGTCATGGCTGTGTTCGCATCAGCACAGCTAGAAAATTTTTGTGTTTTCTGAAAATATTCATTTTTGTGACTTGCAACGTTGTTTGGTGGAGTTATTCATTTAAAGAACGGATAGGAGATAATATTTACCCTCATTTCAAGTTCCGTGCCATCCCTCTCGGCCAAGTCGTGTTCTCCAAGTCGGACGTACAGTCTCTTCCGAACACAATGGGCCGCTGTCAACACCCACTGGGAGGCTATCAGAGTTCCCCCACAGAAGGCTTCCTACAAACACATGTGATTAGATTTGTTATGTCCCATCTTATCACCCTAGGACATATAGGCTCTGGACCAGGCCCGGAATTGTTTTACGCATTACTTCAGTCAATGACTTAAGGGTTGCGGCATTATCACTTGGATAAAATCGATTCAGCGGTGGGATTTAGATTATATATCTATGGATTTAGTACCCCAACCTCGGAGACTAAAGTCTTTATTGCTCTACTTACCACTAGACCAGCTCTCTCCCTACTGATGTTTGGAATAGATACTAGCTTTGGATATTGATCTTCAGTATCCAATAGTCAATGATACTAGTCAACACACGTAAATTGTGTATTTAACAGGTCCAGCCTCGGCCTTTACACTTCTCCGTAGAGTCTCCAGACACACAGGAGTGAGTGTGTTAAAAGGTAATAAACTGATAGGATAAATGTTGAAAGATGACACCTTTTTCTTGGCAGATCAGCTTCTTCTTTAATCAGTCAAGGACAGCTGGGTCTAGTTTGAAACCATCAAATGGCTATTAAATTTCAAAGAGTTTTAATTGTTCCACGTTTTTATTAATCCTCAGTTTTGTAGAGATGATTACAATATTGCTGCAATATTTTGGTGAAGTATAGTCCTTTTTTCTTTATTGTCTACATATATATGTATAACTAACTTCGCCAAAATTCATGGTTTACTACATTATTGTATTTGTAGAATCGTTCCAAAACTCTATTTCTGAATAGGCGGGTATTCAAAATAGTGGAGTTTGGGATAGCGGGATCCTACTGTAATGGTCTCCAACGTTCAGAGATGAACTATTCATATCACACCATCTTATTGGTTGTCTCTGAAGGCCACCTGACAAAAATCAAGTAACCAATAGGTTACACTTACCTTGAACCTGTTAAGCACAGCGACCTGCCACGGCCAGCTTCCAGGGTATGCGTCTCGCCCTCCTATGATACGCAACATATTGGCTGCATACCCCCTGGTAGTGTTCCGCCCGAAACCACACACCCCTTGGCTGACCCGAGGATTCGCCGATGCTGGCGCAATGCTGTAAGCTCGGCCACCAATGTCGTTTTTGTCACCTTAAAAACATCAAATGCAGCACATGATGGTGACGGCTAGTTTAGGTTTGATTATTATTATTATTTATCAGTATGACTCTGACCAAAAGGGATTCCTTGGTAGTCTGTACAATAGTTGTATGTATAAATGTAGACTTTAGTAAGAAGATAAATTTACAAAAATAAGACCTCTGAATATGCCAGGTGCTGAAATGCACAGGGTGACACAAACATCTTACCTACAAGAATCCAGGCAACAATGAAGGTAAATCTAATAATTCCTCAGTATCACGAATACTTACTGTAGACACTGTTGTCGTCTGTACCCCTCCTCATCATATCCTTGTGTATGGTGTGACATTGAGAACCTTCTTGATAGCAGAATGCTGTTTCCCTTATCACATCCTTTCCACAGACAACAGGTCTCTTGCACCACCTAAACATTTATTACAACATGAACAGCATTTATTTCTATTCCTCTGTTCACATCTATGCAAAACAGGTATGACTACCTAGCTTACTGTACACATAAAAAGCTACCTTACCCCCAGCGTTCATTAAAGTGTTATGTTAAAATTTGTGGTAATCATTTTAAGGCCTTTTATCAAATAAATATATGAACACAAGGCACATCAAAATGAAGCTTAGTGTGTACGTAGATCTGCCAAAAAGAATAGATGCCGTAAAGATGCTTGTGATGATTTATTTAGACTACTGGTTGTCCAGTGTTCAAAAACACAACCAAAAATATGTAATGTACAGACTTCTCTATTTTTACCCCACGCTGTAAATAAAACGTGTACTTGGCATTTCATCCATTAGTTTTGATTTTCTGTTTATATTTCGTTGTTATTTCGTTACCGACATAGCAACCCATAAGGCTCATGTTAATTTTTTAAAATTTTAAACTCATTTTTTTGTACTTATTTATTGCCTATTTTAATTTATAAAGGGATTCTGCACACCTACAGGAAAATATCTTTCTAACAGTATGGGTGGATTCCTGTGATGCATACGAGCTGAGAAAAAAAGTAAGCTACAGCAGGTAAAGAGGCATGTCTAAAACTAAAGTTGGTCAGTAAAATAAATTCAAGTGAAATGTTGAAACACATTTTTAGCACAATTATAAATCTATAATAAGACAACAAGTCAGCTTTGAGCCTATCTGACCTGTATCGCTGGGTAGTACAAGACCTGGTACAAGTTGTCCATCGGCTCCATTTACTGTAAGCTTTCTTGTATTCTCCGCGTAGCGACAACTCGTTGTCCGAACCATCTCCCTCTTCCCCTCGGCCCAGCAGGTCTCCACTGCGGGCTCCGATCTTCTGGACGGACTTACGAGGGCTGTTCACCACCTAGACAGAAACGTTGTTAAAATGTATACAATAGTATTTTGTTTGCACCTATAACCTCAATCTGCCATTCTCTTTTGGATCCTCTTTAGTAGTAAATTATAGACCTATTGCAGCTCTGGTAAAAAATATAACATATGTTTTCTTACGTTTCCCTAAACGTAAACCTCTCCTTACCCTCACACAACACATTGCAGGCACAAAACACACAAGTTCTGAGTCAAATCTGACTTAACATCCCCATTAATTGTTTCAACACAGAATTTAACTTGAAGAAGCACATACTGACAAGTTCTGACAAAAGTATCAGCTTAACCACAGATAAGTGATGAGGTACCGAGTGATAGTGGAGTGGCTGTTCACTATCAGATGTGGCATGTTGTGCTGATGAAAATATACTTGTGACGAGCAAGGAGCCCAAATGTGGAGCACCGTGCAGAAAGTCCTATCAAACAAGGGACATGGTCTTTGTCCACCATGAGTATTGTAGTACATGATAGCAAGGGGGGCAGAGGGGGAACTTTGTCCTAGACACCAGAACTAGTGATAGACACCTCTTAAGTGTGCCATTGAAAGTTTCCTCTGTCCCTTACTTCTAAGTGGTTAAACTTAGTCTTAACAGAGATTTCCAAGGCATCAAACCCATGTTACTCTAATCTAGTGATCTAGTGACTTAAACCTAAATGATCACAACGATTGAACAGTTACCACATGAAAGGGCGGTCTGCGTTTCTTGTGACGATGTTTTCTTCTTCCCCGATTACTTCTGTCACAATATTTTCTTTGGGAATTTGTGTAGATTTTACAAGGTCGCTCTTCCTACAATTTAAACACAGATTAAAATAATGTTTCAACTATAAGCTTCTTTAATTTGAAAATTTACATAACGTAATGGCTCGATTTGAGAAGAACAAACTGAAATCGGTGTTTTAATACCTCATCTCTTTCTAAAGAAATCTAAAAGTTATATGTTTGATTCGTAAAATAATTAATTCCCATATGTTGTCTTTGATGTACTACTCTTTGTTGTATTGAACTGTTATGAATAGGGAGTGGGAATGTCTGGAAAAGAGGAGAAGAGAGTGGAAGGTCGTAACCTTCAATTTAGTTAGGTTGTAGTTTAGATTCTTCAAATATTTGAAAGCACTGCGTAATATAGCAGCATTTCAATTTTTTGTTGTAAGTCCCTCACACTTTTCTTCAACTATTGTCCATACCTATCCATAAACGTCCAGTTTCCCCTCTATAATTCATTTTTAAAGTCTGATAATATGATAGTGCAAGTGGAGTATAGTCTAGTTCTAAAAGATTTACTGTACAGATTAGCTTATAGAAAAAGCCAGAAGATGTATATTCCCAAACAAGTTTTTTGTTATTTAATTTTGTTCCAGGAAAGGCTCAATGCTGAGATTCCGTTTGTAGAATATGTTGATAGATTTTTACTGGACTACTGGTTGACTATAAACACATAGAAGACACAGTACACAATATTTTGTCCCAATATCACGGGGACTTTGAGTGTACGTGTACGAAGAGAGCTGCAACGTTTTATTTGTTAAAGCTAGATAACAATCCAATTCATGAAGTATACCATGAAGGGTCCCAGCATTTTTGTTCCACGATTCCGACTCCAGCTGACGGGTTGTGGGGGGTTATGAGCGAACGGTTGAAATGACCTCTTAACTGTCTTGACAAGTGGTCATTTCAGTAGCCATGGAGCATTGGACGAGAGAACGACGTGCGTTTGCTATAAAAGCATAATAAAAAATCAGGGATAATGTTGTTTGTGCTCAGCGCGCTTTCTGTTTTGAGTTCAGTCTAGCTGCAGGCTCCCGTATCATCAAGGAAATCTATCCTCCTTTGCGTTATTAACTTTGAAGCCACTGCTAGCACGACAGTTACAAAACGATTGCAGAAGTTTTGTAAATGTTTTGCAGATGCTACAAAACGTCATGAATAGATTTCATCTCAGCCTTCAACAATGTGTGTAAAACCAAGGACGCCATTTTTCTGACACTTCAAAAAATATATTTTAAAGGGTAAAACATTAATTTTCAGACATTTACTGAAGATTTATGTTAAAATAATTATCCTTTTTCCTAAATAAATTATCAGTTATTTTTTAAAAATCAAGCCGTTTTACTGCCTCACCCGGTATTAACTCTAACCTACATCACCCAGTATTACCTTGAGTATGACTCCGCTACAATTGGCCCCCGATTTGCAATGTTTGCTCCGATTCTGGGTACAAGAGTGAGGTCTACATTTGGTCCACGGCCCCCATCCTCCATACAACTCCAGGCGGGGCGAGTCATCTGCAAATAACAAACAATCTGTTAAACCATACCAGATCACAAAATTTAGGTTTGAGGGGAAGCGATTCCACCCCCTCCACCTCACCTACCCTAACTTTGAAACAGCTGACAGCTGATCAGCTGATGTAATAATTAGGCTAAAAAGAGGTGGGGGAACCCAGGAAACCTTCCTCTTAGGCCGGGGCCACACGACGCGGATCATCCGCGCGGACGGACCACGCGGATGATCCGCGTGGTGCGACAACACATTGAATCAAATGAGAGTGGCCACACGGGGCGATCCTAAGCCGCCTGGGCGGATTGTCCGCGCCATGTCGCGGATTGTCCGCGCGATCATAAGCCGCGTTGGAGGGGATGACACATGTAGTCTTATGAGAGTGGCCACACGATACGGATTGTCCGCGCGGTTGGAGCTCATTTTCAAGCATTTGTAGTGTTTTTTTTTTTTAGTTTGTGTTTGTGCATTTCGGTTTATAAGTGTAAAATGTTCGATACAGACAAATCAATGGAACTTGTTAAAGATAATGTGGGATTTCTCATGTTGTACATTTCTCATGAGTATATCTTCCTTAGTTATATGCGGTCAAAGCAATTGAAGTAGCTCGTCAAACGATGGTATCTACATGCGATAGTAACAAAAAAGACTCCGAACTATGGTTTCGCATGTGCTTGTAAAAGGTTTGGAACACAAATGGTTTATCGGTTATGAAATGATGGACCCAATGATTTTGGTTTGCCCTAGCTCACCACACGCTTCTAATGCAGAAACTAACATACGTGTTTCTTGCATGACTACAACGAGAACGAGTGAATTAAACCATGTTAGAATCTCAGTACGTAGGCTGGGAAACCTCAACCGGAAGCGCGGACGATCCACCACGTGTGTCACACACCGTGTGCCTTGATATTTTTACTTTTCCACCAATACATCATAGTACCCGTATATTGAGAAAGTATGGTTTTCGTAAACAATTTTGAGTTTGAGTTTTGGGTGTAAATATCTCCCTGTTTTGGTTATGTGTCCCCCTGAACCCAAAAAGTTGTTTTCAAAAAGATGCATGTAAGTGGATGACGGATCTGTACAGAGCTACAGACTACACCTGTGGTCCTGGACTGTGAAATGTGGTATTCGGGCACTACTCATAGTCTTTTTAGAAGTTTTTTGCTTTTTTGAAATTTTAATTTTGTAATGTGATTTTCTTCAAGCTAAAAAAGAAATTACAAAAATATTGGATTTCAAAAAAAAGTGTTAACAATTTGGATTTTAATATATGTTATACCCCTTTTAACTCTAAACAAGATGGCGTAAAAAGTACGGTTCAAAAGCTATAGCAAAACAAATTTAACCAAACGAAACCAAAAATCTACCTCGCATTCTCTGGTTTTACAGTTTGACTGATACCAGCTTGCACCATTTCATCTAACCCTAACCCTAAAGTAAGAAAAATATATATAGTCAACACCAGCACACCCAAACTTTATTAGTCACGAAACAAACATCAAAATAGATGTTAAAATTGGATTTGCAATATTCAAAATCAATGTTCGGACCGTGATAATATTACTGTCGATCATTTTTAATTATTAAAAAGTTATTATAACTTATTACTGTTTGAATGGTTAGTAATACCATCATTTCTATTGTATGCTAGGAACATTCGAACCTTGAAAAACCAGTGATTATAGTCATAGTCAATAATGCAATAAAAACTTTGTTTTCAGCGCCTTCAGTTCAAGCGATACCAAGCCACGCACTGTTGAGAGCTGTGTTGAAGCCAAATCGGCTTTGCAGGCGTACTTTGTCTTTTTAATCCAATTTTCTTCTACCATTGGGTGCAACGATGCCCTCTTTTAAAACAGAAATTCATTTATGAAAATAGAAGACAACACGAACAACAAACTGGAATATCTCTTGACAATTCATCAATGAAAGTTAATTATGAATACTTTCAAACTAATTATAACATCAAGTGATATATTTAGAAGTTGTACTGTAGTTTGTGATGTGGAAAGTGAAAACAAACTTATCTATGGATTAAATTGTAAAAACTAGGTACTTAATTAAATATAGAAGATAACTTTCTGAAAATTTTGTTGACCAACATAACCAATTTAATTGAGTACAGTAGGGTATAATTAAAATTACAGGCTTTAAACAAGTTTTAGAACTCAAAATGGAGATAAAAATAATGATGAAGTACCGTAGCAACTAAACTATGTATATTACCTGTACTGAGGTCCATGCTTAAAGTCTTGTCTGTGGAAGTATCGTTCATAGTCAGATTTCGGAAACTTGTCAAGTCTGAATCCTGAAAATTGCGAAACTTTTACCATACAAACATTATAAATTAACACTAATAAATATACAATTTTAAAACCTATAGGTACCATAACATTTTTATTTTAACTGCTTATTGCTGGGACGGAATGCAAGTAAAAATAATCTTTATTAACTGCCATCTTGGAATAAAAATGACGTGAAACGTGATCACTAACAGAATATAAACAGCATACGATCATCAGTGTATAGAAAATCATCAGAACCCATCAGTTCCCTCAAACATTGTAAATTTGTGGAGCCTGTCCTGGTGGAAGAGTGGACCCTTGGTCTAACTCAGGGCAGGATAGATAAATAAATTATCAATTATCAACTATTTCACTCATTTTAAACGTGAAACGTGATTTCCTTAGAATTTATAATGGAATACATTGTAATTTTCTTCTGTTGTTTGATGGGACGTGAAAAATTTACAATGATCCTTTCCATTTTGTTTTGGATAATTTTGAAAATCAGACATAAATCAGTAACAGACATCAGCTCATTCTACCAGTGCCTCAATCCAACTACGTCAATTGTATTGTAAAACTGCTACACCCAATAGACTGATTAACACGAGTAGACCTCTCATACCATTGTAAATTTTAATGTGCTAGTGTCGACGGAATTTTGTTTCCATTGTCTTGGGGTTAATTGCTTGATGTGTGCTTTACTGTTTGGTTATATAGCTAGCGCAGGAGTTATTGTTTATGATTAGATCGTTTTATTTGATTAAACGAGGTTTTAAAAGACTGAAATAACAAGAAAGAAATTGTACACAATACACGACCTCTCCAGTGCACCGGACAGAAATAACAATAAAATTGGCTTCAGCTGTTCCATAAAGAAAATAGATCTATTAAGGGAGTATGATCAAACATCGTGCTTGTCTTAGCAAGTTAACATTCCTATATTTTTTTAATTGTGGGGTATACCCATTAGGTCCATTTTTTTAAACATAGGCTAGTAAAAGTGGCTACAATCATGCAATTACAAACAAAGTTATGGTTTACCATATATAAGTAAATCTCAGCGACATTCCCTGAGTTTTGTTGTTGTAGTGATGAAAACACAAGCCATATGTCGATACACACGTGGCCCACGCATGGTACAATTTTCAAATCAGCCCAAATCAATATTTAACTGTATACAAAATGAAATTAATACCAAAAGAATCATTCAGGTTAATGTTAGATAATCGAAAAAGTGTCTTAGCGAAAAAACCGGCAAAGACAATACACCGCAAACTCAATTGGGCCTTCCACTATTTCTATCTTTACCTTCAAATTGAAATACCCTATAAATTTCGAGTCCGGTAAACACATTTTGGACGAGTGACGTACCTTATTTTACACCATACTAATAAATCTGTACAAACCCTTATATATTACCACCAACTTATATATTACCACCAACTTATATATTACCACCAACTTATATATTACCACCAACTTAAAGACTAACAATCACTAGTCGTAACCTCTGAGAGGTGCTACTGCATTAGTGTTCCATTGTGTGAGCTTTTCACGTTACACCTTTTATAGATTACTAGCTGTAACCCGCGGGCTTTGCCCCGTTTAACTTCTTCATTTTCAAGATTATCTCGTTCGCATGGCTCATTCACGTCCTGGTTGAAGTTTGTTCGCTACGCTCACTTGCCTTCAGGTTAGCTCGTTCGCTACGCTAACTCGCCTCCAGGTTGAAGTTCGTTCGCTACGCTCACTCACCTTTTCGTTGCAAATTAGCTGTTGTCATAAATGTAAAAGAAATAATAGTGCTGCACCCTGTTGGTAATCCTTGTAACTTTAATGCTATTGAACATCACAGAACATAACCAACTTGTTTAATTGAAACAGCTGTTAAGATTCAATAATTCCATTTCTCATAAGGTTAACATGGGAAACTCCAGAGCCACTGGGGCGGAGCCCGAAAGGATTTTTGAAATAAAAATATGCCTATATGTTAATCGGGAATGTGAGCTATCATCATGCCAAATTTCAGCCCAATCCGACCAGTATTTTTCACGTTCACTTGTCACAAACATACATCCATACATCCATACATCCATACATCTAAACTTTCTCATTTATAATATTAGTAGGATAGTGTTTTGTGATTGGTTATTTTTTGCATGTTGTATCATGACTAGACTGCTATACAGTGCATATTGTTTGACTGCTACCCTCTGTAGTGTATTCCAACTTAGGTTGGCGTTTGTGTATTGTTAGGTGTAATGTGTTAGTTAAGTTTTTTCACCTGAAGACGGGATCAGATTCCAGATCCCGAAACGTTGTGTATTGTTTTTTTTTACAATCATGATGGAAAATGTCCGCAATAAACCTTTGAACAGCATTAAGAGGTTATGTTTTTGTTTATAACCACTCATTGCCAAATACGTAATAAAACCCCATTTGATTAAGCTGGCGGCAAACAGCTGTTTTCTGGACTGTTTCCTTGCGTGGAAAGCTCGTCAAAACAGTGTAGTGTGGCGTAATAGTATATTACGTTACTAGTCCTGAAAATAAGTGTTTACCGGACGAGTGTGGTCGAAGTCGAGTACGGGATTACCATACGAGTCCGGTACACACATTTTGGACGAGTTACGTACGATAGTTTACGCCATACTAATAAATCTGTACAAATCATTATACAGGGTTCATTTGAAAACTTTCCATATCTGTTGTGTGCAAAGGTAAGGCTTTTAACACTTGTTTGTTCTCATTTCCCCCTAATTTGGACATGACAAATCCAATAAAATTATTTTCAATTTCGAAAAATGCCCTAAAAGGGCCCAATTTGGGGGTTAGGGGTGCTTTTTGAGAAATTTTCAAAAGTAAACATGGGTTGTGTGATACATCAATTTAAAGGTCTAATCGCCCCGACTATTTTGGTGCAAAAAAAATGTAATTATCTTTAACCGTATTTACAGGGTGGGTCAAAACGTTTTAAAAAAGGACTTTGAAAAGTACCGTATTACCCGAACTACTGAACAGAACAGCGCCATATTTCTTTCCAAGCTTATTCTTGATCTACTCTTTCAGATAGCTTGTAATAAGGGCATTTTCCATGTTATTTTCTAATTTAAAAAAAATCTCAAATTTGAAGAATAAAAGAAAGCTGAAAACTCAAAATTCTTAAATAGCAAAGTATAACCAATTTCATACCACGTGAAAAGTCCTTTTTTAACAAACATTTTACGTATTTAAGTTTTCTTTCTATCTCTTACCGTTTAAAAATTGCAGAAGAAAAAATGAATTTTCCATTCCATTCCAGATTAACTACAATCACGCACTTCCATAGTCAATTCATAAAGTTATAAGACCTCCTAGAATATTCCAGATCGTTTTAGAAAACAATGAAATATTGAATAAAATTTAATATTTTCATATACACGCATATTGTAGGCCTACGCTGTCGCTGCCTTGTCCAACACCTTTTATTTTCAGTATCCAAACCATTTATATAGGAAGAGGTCATTCAGAGGGAGGTGGTATACACAGGTACACTCACCCTATAAAGAATTTGACTAACGTCTTCTCTGTAAAAATGTCTTGCGTAACGATGTCTATTTGGATGAAGAATTCCGAAAGCTCGACCCGGTCTAGACTAAGTATGCAGTTTGAAAAAACTTGATATTGCTGTAAGATGTTGACTTGAGTGAGATTATTAGGATATAATAGTATTAGTTTTATATTTTAATCATTGATATACTTACTTGTACTCTAAACCGTATTGAACGCTCATAGTCATAGCACTAAGACTTTCATAGCAACTCTCAGTAAATATTTGCAGTAAAATTGAATATTTTAAAAGTAAACATTTGTAGCCAGAGATCAACTAGGTACTCTTTAAAGGTGCGTTACGATTGCAAGGATGGTTTAGTAATGTGTGTATACGAGATGCTGACAGACAAACTAATATGCGTACAATTTATTTTATATTTAATTTTACGATTTATTTATATTTATTTTATGGTTATAAGATTATACGTGGTAGAAAACTGTTTACTTTTTTAATGTAAACCAAATTGCAATTAAGTAAATTAATTTAATTCTGAAATGCTATCCTCATTGAATACAAAACAATTAATTGACAACCTTAATACAAAATTATTATGTTAACTTTTTGCCAATCGTAGAAACCGTTTGATATCGAATCTTATAGAATATTTGGACGGAATTGAATACACACAATAAACTAAATAAAAGGCCAAACTAGGCTAGCTATATTGAGGCAAATCAATTAAATTGCTAAAATAAGCTAATAGGCTAAATCATGTGGGTATACCGTATAAGAAAATACTAAGTCTATTACTCAACTTATTTTTCCCGTAGAGGACGGGGAGAATTCCCATGCTTCCCTCAACGACTTGCGGGTCAGATCTCATGTTTCAAGTGACCCTATTATCTACCTGTCAGACCCCCGGGTCAGTTTGAATGACTCAAAACTACCCTCTGACCGCGGATCAAATCGGAATTTGAGCACACGCCTGGTCTGACGGGTGACGGCAAGGTCTCGTATTGATTATTTGTTTTGTTTATAAGCCAATTATCGGCCTCAGGTAAGAGACACGACTCTCGGCTTTCCAAATCTATATCTATACTATTATATAAAAATCTGATGGTGTCTGTATGTGTATTACTAATAGGTGCAAAACTAAAAGAACCAACTGGGCTTAAATTTTACAAAAATATAGTTACCATACCAAGGACCATTATAGGACTATTCACATTTCGATACTGACCATAGGCTTTGCCCCTTTGGCTTTAAAAGTTCTGAGGTGAACATTTTAAAAGTAAATATTGATTTGTCTCCATGGCTGCGATGAGAACACTAAAAATGTTTGTTTACATTTGCTTTGACATTTAAACGTAAACAAACAAGAAGAACTGCTAAACTGCATATTTCACAATTTCAGACAGCTGATACAATGAAATTAAATATAATATTTCCCATAAGGTAGGTTTATTTTAATCTAACCTTTTATCATGG